CTTCCCGCGCTCCCAGCCCCGCCGGGGACCTGGCGGATGGGACGGAGGGATCCGTCCGGCCTGAGGCACCTCTGCCAGGCCGGAAAGCGGGCAGTCCTGGTAACCCTCATCGAGCGACAAGAAAGGTTCGCTTTCGAACACAACCAGACTTAAAGGTCATCTCAGTGATTTTAAGATCCCCCCCATGTAAACTGTAACCAAAGTTTTGGGGTTGTTTGCTTTGGGGTTGTGTTGTTATGGGGTGGTTTTTGTTGTTGGGTTTGGGGATTTGGGGTTTTTTTTCTTGTTGGGTTTGGGGATTTGGTTTTTTTTTTTGTTGTTGCTATTTGGAGTAAAAAAGAAAAAAAACCCACCATGATTTAAAATTTTTTTAAAAATTTACAGGTTGTTCTAATATGCAGTACTGCTTTCCTGATAGCCTTAGGCCTCTGGAGTTACAATGGTTGTTCTCATTTCTGGCGATAAAAGCAATGGCAAGTGATGGGTGTGTATGTCAAAATTAACACCGCTGAACGGGATAACGATGGTGTTTTGATGCTCTAAGCACATCTGCAGTAGTTACACCACATCTCGACACTCCAGCTGCTCTTGTCCCTGATAATCCCCACTGTTGAGCTCATCAGCTTCACCACCTCTCATCCTGTTTCATCTTTTTTGTTCTAAGATGTCTTTCATTCCATGTCAAACCAAACCAAACCCAGGTATGTGCTATACTAATAGCTCTTGGCTTTGCATAGCGCAGGTGAAACCTGCTGACTACTCCTAGCCAATACATCAGGACTAATTTTAGAAGCCTCAGCAACTGATGGCAACATGCTCAAATAATGTACTGCTGCTCTTGAATTCCTTCTCTGTTGGAGAAAAGTTGGTCCCGTAATGTCATAAAGGGCTCAATTTTCTTTTCCAGGTCCCTGCTATTCTACTTTGCTTAGTTAATTAGATTTGGAGCCTAAGACATTCTTGGCTTATTATTTTTGCTGCTTTGGGGGGTTTAATTTATAGCATAAACTACAGATTATGTCATAACATTTTACTATCTCAAATCAGGAGAGAATTGAGTTTTTGATTTGGAGTAGAGCTTTCTTTGGCTGATATTCTGGCACGGCTATCTTCTTTCACATAATCTCTTAGGCTTTATTTTTTATAAACAAATGCCCTTACTGAGGTAGGCATTCTCGGCCCAGTAATTAGTAAAAAAGACACATACCTGCAAGTGAACTGGAAACTAATGGTGAAGAATAAGAAACTTTATACAACATGGAGTTAAACATAATAAAAAACCTTAAACAACTGTTCAGTGTTGCTGACCAGACCTTTCCAAGTTCTGCTTTTCTTGCAAGAAGTACAAAGTACACCCTTAAGCATTTGATGATCCACATTTTAAAGGGTTTGCCAAGTTGTATCCTCTTACCGTGACTGGCAGCTCTGAACTTACCTGCTTGTATTTGAAGGACTCACCCACGTTTCCATCCAGGCTGAAGTTTTTATAAAGCACAGCATCGTTTACTCCAAATTGAAAATTTATGAAGTCTAATGCATATAAGTTGCCAGGTTTTTGTTATATGTAAATAAAGTGTGTACATTTAATAGTGTGCAGCTCATTCATTGACACGGGCATGCACGAAGGCCACCTGCAACACTATGTCCTTATCAATTACACCGAACAACCTTCACTTATTAACAGTTCAGCCAGACAAGACTAGAAGGCAACTTGTTGCCCAGGTGGGTTTTTGATTAACAGAAAATATGGATGAACAGTACAGGGAAACGCTGAAGAGCACCTGAAGGTTTTGTACTGGAACAATTTTAAAGAACAGTTTCATCTTTTACAAAACTTTTACCTGAAAAGCTATGGAAGATGACCCAAGTAAAATATTCTGTCATACTGTGTGTGTGCAGATTAGGTGGGTTGCCTTTATTCATCTAGATTCCCTATGCAAACACATGTAAATGTTTTTCTCACTATTCTAGCACATTCCTTGTGTTTACCCTTCTCATGCTCTCTGATGCACATCCATACTCCCTTCCACAAACATATCTGACACTCTTCAAAAGCAGTTTACATGTATCTAAGAGGATAGGATAACTTAAAAATAGTGGGTACAGAACAATAAATTTAAGTTATTCCAGGTCTCTGTTAAAAGAAGACAGTGTTTCCTGCATATGAACTGCAGCCAGTTGCATAGCAGAAGCTTGTATTCAATGTTTTCAGGTGAAACAGCAGTATCAGAAACAGGACTTTTTTTTTTTTTTTGCTTATTTACGCTTTTGAAGGCTGCTATTAACTGAACGTGTTAGACTTGCATCACACACTGAAACAAGAAAACCACATAATCTAAGCATCACATAAGACAAGTTAACTGTAGCCAACTTCATATTTTTGTGCTCTACATAACCACCAAAGCAGTGGTGTAAAAATAGCAAGCTACCAAGCAGCTGGCTGTATTAACAAATAAGAAAGGATCCCTTCCCAGCATGACAGGCCCCCACGACACTGTGCAGATACTAAAAGCCCTTCACAGTTTTGATTGACAGAAACCTGGCCTAAGCAGTCAAGAATTTTACATTTCATGCAGTCTAAGCTAAAAGCAACGTATTAAATAACTTGACCCTGGTAGAATTTGTCAGGCCTTGCACTGGTTGACAAGACTGTGTGTGGCCTGCATTTTCTCAGACATCATGCTGCAAAGAAAGGAAGCATTACACAAAAGCTGCATTCTCTCTCCTGTTTTTTCCCCCATCCCTTCTTTGTACAAGTTTGCCTTCTGCCTTTGTCTGTGTATACATAAACCAGGGGAAAGCTACAGTTCCTGAATGACCAGCAGTCAGTACTTTTAGAAAACAGCTATTTGAATCATCACTTAGATTCACTTCTGCCACAGTATTGCTCACATTCCTCTTCTGTAAGTCTATTGCTATAGAGACTATTTTTTAATATGTTGAGAATTTTGGAACCATTTATAAACAAAGCCAGCACATTTATAAACAAAGCTTTTTATTAATAAAATGTTTACACCTTTTTTTTTTTGCACAATACATCAGACTGGTAGTGATTTAGCATGTTATTACACTATCAAAAGTTTATTATGAATGCTTAATTTATTATGAATGCTTAAGCTGAAAAGGCTGTTTACATTATGCCAAATCAACATTTCTTTATTTGCATTCTATGCACTATATGGGAGTGTAACAATTCAAACAAAAAGGAGAGAACAAAAGCCTGGTTTTCCTCATTAGCATCTACGAACCAACAATACAGACAAACCTGTACACACTCTCAGGACCAGCCCAAGAGAAGACTAAAAAAAGTCTCAAAACATTCATAAGCTTGGGAATTCATCACTACAATATTTCATCACTAGTAATCTGACTACATTTCATGCAGTGAAGCAATGGTTGTAAATTTGTGCAGTTTACAGTGCTGCAAATGCTCTGTAACTTTGAGCGGCTTAAGTTTGTTTTAATAAGAGATACTATCATAAGAAGGCACAGACCTTTCAACCTTTGCAACAGGTTAACCCAACCCTACAATGAAAAGGCAGAACGTTCTGAAGAGGGACAAGAATTGCTGATACAACGGTTAACTTTCATGCTTAATTTTACAGGCAAACATTTATTACACTGCAAGAGCTATATGCATATCAGGTTATTTTTGTGCCCTGAATACACAAATGCAAATGCAAAGTTTCTCATTCAGAAGAAACCTTCAGAATTACTTCTTTTTTTTTCTTCATTGTACTGGGGGTGGGAGGTACAAGGGGGAAGATTGCCAGGAAGTCTTAAGTGTCTTACAGCTACACAAATGCTATGATCCATTTCTGGGCCTTAAATCAATTCATTCTGTCACAATTTCAATGTTGGATACATAATATTTAGAGATAGGAAGCACAAAAAAAGGAAGTTAAAATATGTAAGAGTTTACATTGTGTTACTACAGCCTTACAATAATTTGCTCCCTCATGTGAATGTGCTTTTAGCCTTCATTATGGGGTATAACACAGTAGTGGTACCTGTCTCAGCTGCTATGTTTTCAAAACAGTTTCATAAGGCTGTAGTAATGAATTACCATTTTGTTTACAAATATTTGCCACTGTGACAATACTTTTAGAACCTTTGAGGAGAAAAAGGCACTTGCCACCTATTCTTGGCTAAATGCCACAAGGAAACAAAGAACAAATTGTCAAGGAAACATAACAGATTTAGTAGGAAATACACACTGTAACATGAGTAAAAGTGAGGCAAGAAAGTAGCCGTGAACCTATCTAGGTGTCAGAGTTACAGCATATCCAAGTGCAACAACTGGACCGAGTATCACATACAAATGAAGAGCATGACAGAAAGAGTGGTCTGCATCCTTCAACATTTGAAGAAGTAGCAGTTGGTTTGTTTAATAATATGTATGTGAAAAAATTAACAGAAATGAAGCAAAGAAAAACCCAATCTTCTTAAGAGTACCTTTACAATGGTATTCAGCTCCTTGAATAAAATTCATTGCTTGTGTTTAAAGAAAAATTTAAGAACCCCAACTTGCAGGATGATGTAGTGGGACAAGTAAAATTGTTTCTTCTAGGAAGTCTTTATTTTAGAATGAGAGCAGTTTCAACAAATGCTGTCCCAATTTTTTGGGGACAAATCATCCTACTGCCTTGATTTTCCATGTAAATAGGAAACACCAAATAACTCTAAGCCACTAGAACTTACTCTAAGTATTTTTAAATAGCTGCTTATAGCATGTACGGTCTGACACCACTATGTTAAAAATCTGGGGGCGGGGGGAAAGAGGAAAAAAGCTGACCCTCGGATCATTTTGACATGTCAGAGACTAAGCCTGACAGGACTCTTGGGTTTCAGGGTAGTCTTACATCCCTTGAAAGATTTGTTATCTGTGACACTTGATGGATAAAGTTTGGTAATGCTTGCTTGATTTTTCCAAGTCATGCATTTTTGATTCTAGCTGACCAAGGAAGGGTTTGCATTCAAACTTTTGAGACCTTGAAAATATCAGAATTTCAGAAGCTACCATTGGCCTAATAATTTTAGAGAAATAAGTTTTGGCACCTGAACTCTTGTATGAGAAACAAAGATGTGGTTTCAAGTGTATTTGTTTTGACAAGCTGGAGCCATACGACTCTGAAAAGGACAGCTGACATGACCTTTTTTATACTAGAACCTGTATTTCTATCTTCGATTGGTCATTCACACCAACATCTTATTTCTATTAATCTTCTGTTACCTACCATTACTAGGGCTATGACCTATCTAGGAATGTGATCTGAACATAAAATTTTAACAGTTTTCTGTTAAAAATAGATAATTTTGTGCAGATTTTTTAGCAGCTTAGTTCCAAGCACACAATTCTCCTTAAGTAACTGACTTGTCACATACAAACAGTCTCAGGTCACTGTAAAATGACTTCCTGCTAAAAAAGTTAAGAAAGTTCATCCTTCTCTCTTGTCTGTTAACAGAAGAGCCTCTTTTTTTTTTTTTTAGAGGTTTAAAGGGTTTAAGAGAGATACATGAAGCTTTTTACAAAACAAATAGGCAGTGCAGAAGTTTAAGTCAGTGAATTATTCAAATTCTCCCCACGTTTGAGATTCTAATTCTGTGTAGCTACTGCTGCTTGTAAGTGAGGTTTGCTGCAGGGTGACTAGCTACATGGTTCAGACAGCTTCTGTCCTGTAAATCATCAATTCCCAAGATAGTCTTTGCAGATTGCTGACATAGCACACCACAAATAGACTATGCCATCCTTAATAAACACTAAAGACTGTTTCACACAAAGAAAGTCATTCAAACATCACTGATAAAGCTTCCTTTTCCAACTAATACTCAATATGTTATACTGAAAATTAACACTACTGTTAAGGAATAATCTAGGATTAACATCGTAACAAAAATCTTATTGAGGCCAACTTTTAAACCATTCAAGATATTCAGCCTGAATTGATTATTGGTAATTAAAATGAAGCTTTAACTATGAACGTAGACAGGTCCCAATGAATCCCACACCTCTTGATCAGGTTAAAGGATTAGACTTCCAAATCAGTAAGTAGGCATTGTCTCCTCTTCTCTTACTCTCTTCCCAAGCATGTAAATAATCTTTCTCAAGCAGGCTGGTAGCATTAAATTGGCATTATGTACACCAACACATCAAAGACTCAAGTCTGCATAAAACGCCCCTCTAAACTATTAACTGTCTGATCGTGTAGCACTTAGAGGAAGGGTCTCACTCATGTCAGCAGGGATTTGAAGTGCAATGATTTATTTTGTTTCAACATGGATCTAGTAACATAAATTAAGTCTTTACCTTCTTGGCAACAGCAAAAGTTGTTAGAGTTGTTTTAGAACTTTTCAAAGCACCTATTGCAATTTTCAGTAGTTTGACTACTAGATGCTTCTGTTATTAAACATAAGCTTCCAGATTTCACCTACTTAGGCATTAATATGCCAATTTTAAGTATGTATATAAAATATACTACAAAACTACCTACAGCACAGACCAAGAGCCTGACAAGCCAGCTACGAGTTGTAATTTAGAGGGTCAGATGGAGGCACCCTCCAAAACTTGGGAAGCACATTTGAGTTGCTCCAAAGCTTAAGAACTAAACATTTATCAAATGGTATTTTTGTACAAATCTGTAACTTTCGTGGGAAAGAATTGGTGGTGAAATAGTCGTATTTTGTCAGTTAAAAAATACTCTGGATCAACGATATGACACGCACCTCGTTACATTTTTACATACATGATACTTTACCCTTCCAAACTTGCTTTGCAGCAATTAATTCCCTTTGAGAGTATCTGAAAGTCTAGTCTCTCTGATGAGCTCCATTCATTAAACAGAAAGGCATAGTGGAATAAAACTTCAGTCCTGAGCCTTTTCAACAACTTCTTAATAGAAAAAAGTTATTAAAAATTTAGCTGGAATGGTTGATAATCAGCACTCCAAACACTCAAAGGCTAATGTATCTCCAAATAGAGAAGCTATGTTAGGACAAAACATAATCAATTTCAGCAAGCCTAGTGCAAGATGAAAGCAGATGGCCTAACAAATTATTAATACAGGAGAAATCATTTTTCTCCAACAAAAATGAAACAATGAACATGTGCATCTCATCCAGGGAAGACTGCATTCCAGCTTTCAGCTAGAGCCTACTGATCAATAAACAGTTATCTTGGCTTAAAAGATCTTACATCAACAGTCTGTCATTTTAAATAGGCATGTGTTAAAAAGCAGCCTCACTTCAGTGTTTGTAGTTTAGACAGCCTGAAACACTGGCTATTTCCATGTTTTCATTAACTGCAGTAATTCAAGATGATTTGCAAAAAGAATATGAAGTATGCTGGCATTCCACTCAGATTGGTAACAAAACAAAAGGAGTCTGAGGCATTACAACTTCGCTACATTTGAGAAGGGCCAGATTGCTGCTGCTTCTTTAGTGTTTTGGGGTGGGCATTTTCTGTTTGTTTGTCTATTTTTGGTGTATGGCAAATAAGTGAGGATAGATCAAAAGCGGTTCATAAAGATTTGCTAAGATATATGGTTCTCTCCCCTGACTGGAGAGAACTACAATAATCTCAATACTAGCCTAGCTCAGTCTTGCCTGGAGTCCATTTTCCTCTCAAGTCAATTAAATCTTGGATAAATATTATTAAATCATTTTGTTATTTCACTAAAAAAAACAGATTTAAACTCCATTTTTACCACACACTAACAGGCAATAACAATCATTTAGGAAGTCTGAAAGTCCTTTTTCTACTAATCTACATGAAAGATACTCCCAATATCTGAGACTTTCCTTCTTCTACTATGATCTTTCCAAGTTCATGAAATTCTAGATTATTACCAACCAACTTTTATTAAAGCAGTATTTTCTGTATCACAGTTACAGAGCACCTAGTATCTTGGTACAGAATAGACTTCTGAAGCACTGTGAACACAGAATGTTTTGCAAACCTATTTGAATTAGATAACCACAAAATTTATTTTTTTAAAATTTGCCAATATTGAGATATTTCAAAGAAATTAGGTATTTCCATGACTGCCACTGTGAAAGTTCTACATTTAATTGCTAACCTGCTTTTTCATAATTAAAAATATGCCCAAGAGCAAGCTTACTCTATTCTTCCTTTACTAATTATATTTCCATCAAGCATTTCATACATCAGGCTGAACACCAAACAAATCTCTCTCTACTGTAAGATGCTTTGTTAGGGACCAATGTTTCAAAGGGGCTTCGAACAGCCTTCATTTGATGAAGATCTACTTCTTGGGCTCTCTACAGCCATGTAGCCAGTACAACTCTCGCAAAGGCAGCATAATTGACAATGTAAGTAAAAGGTGTGATAAAAACGTAGTCACCAAATTTCATTAAAACATACTAACCCACACAAAATCTCACTGTAATAGTTGACCTGTTTTGCTCCAGAATAGCTCTACAAGAATTTTCATTAATACAAACTAATCTGAAGTACAAGTCCTTCCATTTCTTACAAACTTTTCTGTATTTCCTTCAGAGAAAAAATACTCGAGATGATAGAAAACCAGATTACAAACAAAGAATAAGCATCAACGTGACCTCATTTTCATACTAAAGCTAAACAGCATATTTTAGTATATAGTCAAGTCTATTAAGCTCTTTTTCTTTAAAAGTATAAAGGTTCTCACTAGTGCTGGTAGGAAACAAAAAGAAAAAATAAATAATATAGCACAAATGGGTATGGTCAACCTATAGTTTAATTGAAAGCATACTAAAACCAACACAGAATAAGCTAAACACTGATTTGCTAAAAATTATCACAGATGAAAAAGCCCAGAAACCAAGAGGTAACGATCTACATTACCACGTCTTAAGGTTACTTCCTATTTGTATTTTTGTGCCCAAAACAGGAAAGATTGGGTGCACCACAGATGACAGCTTGTTCAGACAGACCTCATGCTGCACCAACAGCATTCTCTATTAGCCCCTTCAAATGTGATTGAAAGAGAAAGAATTTCAGTCTGCCTCTGGATGAACTCACAGTGACAATACCCAAAACGCAGGAAAAAAACCAACAAAGATTCCCCAGGAGTTTATCCATAGGTGTGGAATGGAAGGAGTGTATAAGCTTGCATTATTTTTTACTGTTTTTACATAATTTATAATACTTTAAACACTGGTCTCATAAATATAATATGAACACTTTACACATGCCAAGCAATTAAAAGCTTTCCCCCAAAACTTTTAGGTCTGATCAGAACCACTGTCAGCATCTGTTTACAGCATCTGGTTTTAGTCAGAACTACAGCTAGGAACAAAAAAATGCCTATAAGCATATCAGTTTGCCTTGAAGTGATTAAAGTCAGCATGAAAAAAAGATTGTCTGTGGTTTAAGATCTGTTGCTTGTGTCCCCACCCCCGGCGCATATCATCTTTAAATAAAAAGTGCAATTGGGATTTGGGGACTGGATGGACTAATTTGCCTAGTATTTGTCTTCATTTGTAGCCACCTCACATCAACTGTCCCACTGTACTTTGGATTAGCTACAATTAAATTTGAAATAAGGCTCACTGAAGAAAAGGAAGAAATGACATCTAACTTCCAGACTCCTCCCACCCCTAAGTCCCACAAAAGTGCTCATTTCCCTTTTCAAAAAAAAGCCCCTAAAATCTTGATTATAAAACTATTAAACATTTCAGTTCTACCATCCATATAGTCACCTTCCTTTCAGGCAAGACAAAAAAAAGTGATGATGGATTCCCTTTGAATGCAAGAGATACTACACTTTTTGTAAGTAAACAGGCTGACATTACGATTGCAGTCTTTTCTGCGAGTGTACAGATGTCAGATGAACTGGTCCATTTTTGTGGGACCTCGGGCGTATGAACACCAGCAGATAAAGATCTAAGACTGATAATATAAACCCAACGTGAACTATTAACTTCCAAGACCACCTACTGTTTAAACAAGTCTGATTTTCTAAGGGATCAGTCAACAGCAGCTGCGCTTTGTCACCGATGGCTGTCTTCTAAGTTTGAAGCCCTTACCACTAGACGGGGGGTTGGTGTCAGTTGATGGAATTCTGCGACCTACAAAGAGGCAGAAAAATAATTTATAGCAAACATCATACTTCAAACTAATTCTAAGCATCCAGCGTATGTTTTGTATATAAAAATGTGTCTTCAGTTAGCCATATGTCATGACAACATTCCTGCATAACAGAAGGATGGCGGTTAACAGTCTATACTATGTCTGTAAGAGGTACGGTTCCACAAAAGAATATAGGCAGTTTTAAGCTAATTTGCAGCATTTACACTTCAGGCTAATCTAGACTTCGAGAGCTAAGCTATAAAAGCACCCAGAGAATATACTCTACAGGATCAAATACCATCTGGAATATCTTCATTGAGAACTACCATCCTGACCTGTATTTCCACAGTAGTTCACCTGCATCAGGCTTAGCCCAGAAGTGCTTATAAAGATAGCTGCTTTAGTCATCTAATCAGTCTTTAAAATGGACTATTTCTGGTTGAGTATTCTTTTCTGAGGAGGATTTATGACTTCTTTTTCCATAGTTTATGCAAGATCAATTTTAGACAGCAACTATTAAGTCAGTAGATCAGGAAGCTAATCTACAGCACATTCTTTTTACACCAGCTTCAACACATTCAACTGCTTATAAGGACCTTATTTTTTTTTTTCTAAGTCTAATGTTTCTGTAGTTATTCAAAGATAAACTGCAGTGCGTGCACAGACACAAATGGATTGCTCTTTGTCCTCTTTTCGCCAACAGGTTGACATACCTGCACGTTGGTGCTGCTGCCTGAAACATACCCTGCAAATAATATTGCATGGAATTCACTTTGGAGTATTGTCTGCTTTTCATTCACACGTAAGAGTTCTCCCCACCATGAACAAGACAGAAAGATTTGCAATTTCATTAAAAAAACCCCAAGATATCACAAAAATACTTGTGGAAAATCTACACACAATAGTTGCCATTTCCTAGGCAGTAATCTGGCATTTATGAATCCTTCTATTTTTGAAAATGCACTGTTTTAGACTAAGTACAAACACCAAGAGCAAGAACTTAATGCCTTTTTTCAGATGTATAAAGTTTGGATCTTCCTCATGACATTTCCTTTCCCTTCCATAACCTTGGAAGTACTAATTGAAACATTCAATAACAGATACAGTAAGACGACACTGACTTCTGACATGAGTGCCCTGCTTGCTATTTATCCAGCAGCATCACAGTAGGCTTAAAATCTCTAGAAGGAATATTTAGAGGTCATCAGATGACCAAGAATTTATACACCTCATTTTGCAGTTCGTATTCATGTCTGATTGTAACAAATTTAAGTCAGTATACTCTCACCTAAATAGCACAAAAACTAACACAGTAATCAAATTTTTACTTGAACTTCTTTCAGAAGAAAGCACATTAACTGTTTAAATACTTACTAATTTCTATAAAGAGTTCATTAATGTTTATTGCATTTTTCGCACTTGTCTCTACAAATATTGCATGAATGGAATCTGCATAGTCTTTAGCATCTTTTTCCATGACTTCTCTGGAAAAACAAAGCAAAGAAAAAAAACATGAATGCAGAAAAACCCCATTATTCAAAATCTTAAGGGATAGATTAAGCTTTTAAGTATCTCATTAAGTGAGTATTTTGTATTTTACTTGTTTAGCATCACATTGTTCCCTCATCCTGAAGTTGATGCTCATTCTTTACTCTACGCTGTCTCCCTGCCTGAGGTATGAGCATCATTGAAGCACAATCAAAAACTAAACAAGGCCTTAATTAATCTGACAACATTACAGTGGAGTTTGTTTCTTGAGTGCTCTACGTGTAGGTCTGCAATCGATCATTAGGGGGTGCTTTATTCTTCACAGAGAGAACAGGTTTAGAGGTACTGAAAAGACTCTAAAACAGTAGTTCCACTAATCCAGTGGATTTCCTACAGCTGTTTACAAAACCAAGTACCTCACAACACTGCACAGATCATTAGTTTAGCATTTACTTTACATGAAGCATAAAGACATAGCTATAAACAAATATCAGACTGAGCACACAACAAGAGAGCCAAGAAGTGAAAAAGTTATTCTGCACACCTAAGTAGGCAAGCTGATAACAAAGTATGTTTCCTTAAATAACGTGAAAAAACCAAACCCCAATAAGCAGAGAGGGGACTGGACCGTATGTTGTATCACTTTGCATACAATTACTAGAAAACATTGGCTACTTTCACTAACAAGGGACTTAAGATATCAAAAGCACAGACTTCGGATCAGTGACTCAAATATTGCCTCTGACTAAAGTACAAGGAAACTTGCTAATTAGCTTGAATAGCAATGTTTACATAATTTATAATGCCACCTAAGCACCAAGAAATAAGCATGTGAGACTGGATACTGCATGCCTTGTATTTGTCTTCTGAGTAACTTTATGCCATATTTCCTTCAAGGCATACGCTACTTCTAACAAAAGTTATTAAAGCTCACTAGATAACTGCTATATATTAACAATTTGTAAAACTATACTAAGAACCAACTTTGCAGTGGTTCTTTAAACACATAACCATCTGTCTGCTCTGGGAGACCAGCTGTGGTACCTTTTCCAATGAAATCTAAAAACAAGAAGTCTACACGCACCTTCTTTCTGAATTTTGGCTTAATGAGGACATCAATAAAAAAGGGCTTCCTTTGTTTTTAGTACATGCTTTCTTGAAAGTTTGGCTGTTCATAAAGTTTCTCAAGAACTTTTCCCTCTCCCTGCAACTATTTTAGCCACAGCCAATTCCACCCCAATATTTAAGCAACGAAGGAAGGCACCTGAACAAGCAAGTCAGAAAAACCTACACAATGCTCTCCAACAGGCTCAATGTTTTTCCTAACAAAATGAGGTGCTACAGACTGACAGGGGTACTTCTTATAAAGTGAGATAAACAGCTTGTATTTCACTGTAGTTTCACAGGCAGTTTAGGCTTGTGTAACTTGGCACTGCCACCAGAGAAGGTAATCCTGTCTCCCTGTAAACTGCTCATTCCTAACCCTGCTATCCCACCTCTGTCATGCCAGCATGGTGTGAGCAAGATAAATACACTTGGATCATTCTTCCTTTTTTTAAATGGTTAGTTTTAATCTGGATCCATTTTACAGCCTGATTTATTGCTCAATCGCACATGTACTCACACCAACACAGAAGGACGTCTGTCCAAGGGCAGACTAACCAAATCTTCTGACAGTAGAAACAGTTCAGACACCATGAGAAACTACAATGCTAGTGCAAAACAGCTTAAATTGCTCTATACCTTTCACCTGCTCTGAAATCTTAAAATATTTAGCACTATGAGCTTAAGTGAAAACCTTCGAACTGTCAGTGGTTATTTACCTTACATCATTAAGATCACACTTATTTCCTGCAATAGCTACAACAATGTTTGGAGGTCCGTGCTGCCGAAGCTCTTTAACCCAGTTCTTTAATGTTGAGAAAGTTTCCTGATGTGGAAAAAAAAAAAAACAAAAAACAAACAAAACCAAACTCAGAAGGAATTAAGAATCAGAACTGGCCCATTAACACAACCCCCCCCCTCCCCGAAATCATAATGCTGGATCAAGATCAAATTCCTTACCTCTTTTGTGATGTCATACACTATAATGGCTGCTGCTGACCCTCTGTAATACATTGGGGCTAAAGCACGAAACTGAAAGAGAGACACCATACATCATGAATCTGATCATCCGCTGACCTCAGTGATTTCCTTACTATTATTATTGAAGAAAGTGGAAACTAACTTTAAAGTTCACATTTAGTGGAAAACTTTTCTTTACAATTAGAGAGGCTGTGTGGTAGAGTCCATAAACTTCCATGAAAGTATTATTTTAAAGGCCAACCAGCACACCGACTAAAAAAGCAGGAAGCCAAACTTGACCTTATTTTGACTAGATTAGAATCTCTCATTTAAAAGGCTGTAGATTACACACAGACACAAACCCGCAGGATATAGGCTCAACTTTAAACACTGAGCAAGGGCAAATTAGTCAAAATTGAACGCGCTGCTTCTTTTTTAGGACACTCATGCTTTTGGACTAAAAGTAATTTCAAGAAAGCTAGCATATATTACTACTCATCTGGTATGTTCAGAAGTTGGTGTCAACCTCTAGCGCCATGGGTCAGTCATGGCACTCTTAAATGCTAGAAATGTTGGTTTCTTCATAACTAACGTATGGCTATAGGGATTTCACTTAAGTTTTTCCTCAACACTCATAAGTTAGAAGCATGTTTAAAACTACAAACTGCAAAAGCCCACAATTATGTGACCTGTTGCAAATAGAGCTTTAAGGAACATGATAGATAGTAAAAGGCTACAGTAATTTTATTGCAACTTTCAGAATTAAATCTACAGCCGGCATATTTGCTTGGTAGTACATTTGCAGGGTATAAACCAGGCCTGTACCTTTGCATGGGCAGTGTTATGAATCCAGGACTGAAAAAAGTGATAGAGCACATGATTAAATTGCCAGAAATATCAATTGAGCATTCTTAAGAAGTGTGATACTCTTCTACGTTAAAAAGAACCAGACAACTAGTCTAGCAACCTAAACTCTGTCAAAGCCCACAGTAAACTGCATGTACTGCTTTGATGTAAACATATGTAATTTAGAGCTTTTGCGCATCTAATTAGTCAGAGTAGAAATCATGAATAGAATAGAGTTTTTCATAAAAGCTTATTTGGGTCTAATAAAATACCAATTTCCTTTTGCTTAGTACAGTTCAACTGAGAGCAATATTATAAATCATAAAAATCTTGCTATAAAGCAGAATTCCAGACCATTTACATTTGGCTCTCGAATTCTGTTTTGAAAACAGGATTTTGAACACAAAGTTGAGAATATAAAAATATTTAATAGTGGGAAAGGGAAACATGGGCAGGCATTCAGTTCATGTTGGGACATAAACCCTCTCTTCCTCCTAAGTACTAAAATGTAAAGGGAAACATATTTGGTAAACCACCACTTGGACTCCTTGCAACCTGGCTTTTTGATTATTTGACTATTTACATTGGGAATAAACCAGCTTTCACTTGCTGATTTTGTATTACTCTCATTTCCTGCCTGCTAACACTTAGATACTTTTTTCCACCTAAGAGCAGTCAGCAGATAAAATACATTAACAAAACAGATGTTACTAGAAACACTGAATTTTCCTTTTGCTATTTTTCCAAAAACTTCAGCTTGCCCTCCAGCCTCCGATCTGTGTTTTGACAGAACTATCCAGAGAAACTGTCACAATTGTTAGGTAATAAGGCAAAAATCCTAATTGCTATAAGTAATCTCCTATCAACTTCACTCAGTGTAGAAGAAACGATAGAAAAAAATCAGGTGCGCACGTGTAAAGGGAAATGAGCTATGTGAATTAGTGCACATTTCCACCTTTGGAGTGAAGCTAGCCAGCCACTCCCCGAAGCCATTTAGAACAAGGGGTTGCCCAGTGTAGCAGAACTATTTGCTGCTAGGCTTTTGAAGCGGAAAATAGCAAATGCTCCTCAAGAAGCCAGGACTACAAATTTGGAGCATTACGCCATCATAGCTCAGCAGAGACATCTTACTTCCATGAATGGTGTGGACATTTTTGGTATTCCAGATCACCAGGGATGGGATCCCTTTGATAATTCATTGTCAGATGTGTTGCATGACCAGAAAACTGTGCTACAGATTTCAGGGCAAGGCAGGTATACAGACCATTTGTGACTAGCCGTAAGTGATAGCGTTGTTCTGTTTTGGAGAAAGGAATATCTATGAAGATACTGACATAATTTCAAAGTAGTGCTTTGTGTAGTGCTCCCATTTCACTGGTTTCCTTGGATATATTGCGGCCTCACAATGACTTCTCTCAGGTGTGGAACGTAAGCATCACAGATATCACAGCTCTTGGGTCAGAGGCCAGGTAGGACATCTTTCCCAATTTCAATAAAGGTATCATGCAACTTGTATGGAAAAACATTAAAGAAGTGTCACTCAAAGTCTAAAAAGAGAAAGACAAGGAACATGCTAGCCATGTACAGATATGCTTCCTCAGACTGTAGTGGGCTGATTCCACATTAGGGCGTTCTCCCATTGCTTGCAAACACAGTCAAAGAGAACAGGATGGAATGCTAATCTGTAATGGATGTTTCCTGCCAAATTGTGGCAGGCATGTTTAAAAAGCTTTCTATTTAAGAGTACCAGCCTCTCAAAATTCATACTCTACCTCTCAGAAGACTCACATTCCAGCATTAACATTTCAGAATGGGCTAGGATGTTCACTTAAGACAAATTACAGCAAATGCTGACTGACTGCTAGCAATGGAAGGACTCTGATATTTCTGATAACATGGATATTATTGGACATATCCCTGGGACACATCCCTGACAACCTAAGGTTGCTTTATATGGTGCTGCTGGAAGGAAATCAATTGTCATTCAAAAATCTAAAACACTGAAATGCAATACAAATACACTTCAGTTACTTTCTAGCCATCAAGGCTGTTAGCAAGCTAAAAACCTAGCAAGTCAGTTCCACCAGGACTCCAAAAGGTCAAACGACAGGGGTGCAGAGGTTTTGATGGTGGCAGTGGTGTTTTTTTGTTTTGAGGTTTTTTTTTTGCTTGGGCTCTCTGTTTCTTGAGCCAATCCTGAAAAACAGTACAGCTGCATTTGCCAGTTATTATCCTAAAGTAACAACCCAGCCCGAGCAAACTGACTCTTACGGGAGACAGCTCTGGTGTATACCTTTGTTACGGTTAGATCACATCCTAAATAAACTCATCATGAGTAACTGACAGTTGCCAGTAGTTAACAGTCACGAAACAGCAAGAATAAGCACTGTTAATACAGCTACTATAATTTCTATCAACATTACTAGTAATCCATAAACAAGCAAGTTAACTAGCAAAGTTTTCCTATTAAATTCTAAGTACAAATTATGCAAATAAAGTAATTGTGGTTTCATTTGACTAGTCATTTTCTTGAAAACTTTGTTGCTTCCCCTCAGAACTATGCATGCGTCAGAAATCAAAACCCCAAACTACCAAATTAAAATTTAATTTTCAAGATAGATTTCTTGACATAGTTTCCAACACTATCAGATTTGAGAAGTAAAACTTCACAAAACAGTAAGAGATACATAATCACCCATAACACTTGTCCTGGTTTCGGCTAGGATAGAGTTAATCTTCTTCCTAGTAGCTGGTATAGTGCTGTGTTTTGGATTTAGTAAGAGAAGAATGTTGATAACACACTGATGTTCAGTTGTTGCTAAGTACTGCCTAGACTAGTCAAGGATGTTTTCAGCTTCCCATGCTCTGCCAGGTGCACAAGGAGCTGGGAGGGGCACAGCCAGTACAGCTGACCCCAGCTGGCCCAAGCGCTAATCCATACCATATGATATCATGCTCGGGTGGCCAGAGGGAAAGTGATTGCTGCTCAGGGACGGGCTGGGCATCAGTCAGCAGGTGGTGGGCAATTGCCCTGTGCATCATTTGTTTTGTATATTCTGCATATTGTCTTACCATTGTTGCTATTATTATTATTGTTATTTTTTTCCTCTGCTGTTTTATTAAACTGTCTTTATCTCAACCCACGGGTTTTACTTTTTTTTCCTCCCCCAGTTCTCTCCCCCATCTCACTGAGGGGGCAGGGGGAGTGAACGAGCAGCTGTGTGGTGTTCAGCTGCCTGCCAGGTTAAACCAAAGCATAACCTTAACACTGAAGCTAATAGAATGTGTTAGCAGTGGTATGGTTTTTTTTTTCCAGAATCAAGGCCTTACTTGTACTGAGACATGATCATTCATTTCACTTGGATTCTCATGCTGCCAGTTGCACTGTGCAAATACTGCAGTTGAATGTTTAAAACTCAACTATAGAAATGGTACTAGAGACAGCTGCTGGCATTCCCCACCTTGTTTTCTCTTGAAATGGCACTCCCTTTCAGTGAATCTAAACACTGTCTTCTGTTTTATAAGCTGCTCGTCTTAGGTAATCATCCTTAACCATGATAACAATGAAAAATAAAAATATATTTACAGCACCCATATCTTTATAGAAACTTGCATAGAAAACAAACCTTCTAACGGATATTTGTAAAACCAGATCACATTGTGACTTCCAGGGGTGGGGTTGAAAAGCAACCCAAACTCTAGCCAGAACTATCACCACAGATACTGATTCTACTTACCCGCTCTTGTCCAGCTGTATCCCAAATTAGGAATTTATGCAGCTCATTTTGATACTGTACAGTCTTGGTCATAAATGAGGCTCTGTAAAAAAATTACAGCTTACGCTTTTCAGAACGTAAATACATTCTTAGAACATTACCACCATGAACTTTTAAAAAGGTTTACATTCCAATAAAAGTGATTTCCCCACACATACACATAAAACCAATGGCCTCAGAAAAAATGAAAAAAAGAAAAAAATGATAAAAAAGGACCTTAGAGGATGAAATTTCCTTTCAGAGGATGAAATTCAACTAACAAAACAGAAGGAACACAAATGCAAATTATAAGCTTTTATTGTTCATAAGCTT